TTTTTTTTTTTCAGAAAACTTAAGAGGTTTTACCTGTCAAAGAATGCTGAATGATCTGAAGATGTTGTACAGATGTTACACTATCGCTGATACGTATTAACGAAACGCCTATATTGCAAACTTCACCCCCACCAGTCATCGCCCACGCTTAAGTAAATCGTCAGTCAAACTAAGAAAATGCTTCGTCTTCACTGAGGAATAAAAAACTGCACACAATAAAAAAAATAACTAAGCCCCGTGATAGATTTGTAACAGTAAACTTTCTTCCTTCTGCCTATCTTCTCTTCATTTGCTGCTCTTAACACCGCGTTTGAAAAAGCTTTCAAGTATGAGATAAAAAAAACCTTTTCAGAAAAAATTCAATTTATAAAATACAATCCCATCCATCTTTTATAACAGTAGTTCTTTTCCTAACACTCTTCTTATCTTTCAGCCGCGGTTCCACTGTTTAATCAGCGACTTTGTAACGAAAAGAATGGAAGCATTCTGACTTGTCGCAGGAGGTGTAATGCTCAAACTGAACTGCAGAAGATTTTGTCCAGAAATTTTGCAAAAGTTCCAGAAAGTTCTCAGCAATAAAGGCATAACAAAAGGATGCAGGAAAAAGTACTTGCAGTTCACCCGCCATTCGCCTTCCTTCCTGTAACTTCTCGTCACTTCAAAAGTTGAAGTGCAGAATTGAGTGACCCTAAAGAAAATCATAATTTTGAAAATACAACCAAAATGACAAATTTGTCCCGCTCACTTCTGACGTGCAATCACCTGACGACAAAAGTACTTGTTTTCTCCGTTACTTTGAGACCGAAATATTTTTTATGAAGGAATAATAAAGTTAGCTGACAACTATGAAACAGTTTTACAGCGAAACGAACACGCCGATGTACGACAGATCCCGAAAAAGAACAGACAACTCACTTTTCCTGCAGACGCATCGCCACACAAACTAAACGATGATGAATCAGCACCGTCAACATCCCTACATTCTGATATCATTAAAAATCCTATTTCTTTCTTTTGAACAAAGCTCCACTTCTGATAGCTTTACTTCTTACATGCTAAACGCCTGTCATGAGTGACCCTACCAGGTGATTAGATGACATTCACAGTTTTCATGTTACTATTCTGTTCAGTTGCGTAAACGACTTGCCGGCCAAAAACGAAACTTCCTTGTTCCGGCCTTTCATAACAACACCAAATCGCTTCAACCAAAACTGCTGAACAACAGTTGCTACCTACACTTAAAGAGTACCGCTGCATGTGCCGGAAGAGAACAAGAAAGCACTTCCCTTCTTAGAAGGATTGGCAACCTTCTTAGAAACCTTACGCTTTTTGTCATTCGCCTTCTTTTGCTTTCTATGAAATACACCCCCTCGAATCTTTTCACTGCTTCTTCCTCGTTTTTTTTTTTTTTTTTCACTCTACAGTTTATAAACATATGTTGAGTGACAAGTTGCACCTCATCAATTTATTTTTGAATCATTAAAGATCAGCTTTAAACGCCCGTGAGCACACTTTCACATTTATTTTATTTTCTTTCTTTGCAAAAAAAGATAACAGAAGAGCAACAACAACAACAAAAACAACCAAACCGCTGAGTGAAAAAAAAAAAACAGAAAAGTTAGTGTGAGATAACGCCGGGATTAATCAGTACAAAAATCTGCTACTACCAGTCCCATCAGCTGTTGTTCTTCATCAAAGCTTTGTAACTAGGTTCCACTAACATAGAAGACTAATGTGGAAAAACCCAACAAATGTAGAAAATATACCATATCCTTCGACTGCCGTTATTTCAAATTATTACAAAAAGGGAAAAACAACAACTAAAAAGAGAGAGAAAGGCGGGAAGAATGTATCTGAACTACAGAAGAATGTCCGTCAGATTTTCAAAAAAACCTGCCTTTTCCTCTCCGCTTAAAACCAAAAAGAAAAATAGATACATAAATATATCTAGAAGTAATCGACACGAAAAAAAGAAAGTGACGAAAACCATATGTATGGCCTAAAAGTGCTTGATGTACTCATGTAACAAAAAGTATCATAGATGTCTTTTCTCAGTAGAATATCAAAAAATTTGAACATAGCAATAATTATATAACTATGCCAGTAATAACTGTTGTTTGACCCAAAAAATGAACAAATCAACAGAAACTTTGGAGAACAACAACAGCAGTAACAAAAAACTTAAATTTTGCCTATTCCAAAAAAGAAGAATGAAGGATGAGACGAAAAAATAGAAATTGAAAAATAGACATCTAATAAAATCTATATATACAAATAAAGATTGAAAAATGAAATAAAACTACACCTTATGACCGTATGAATGTACAATGCTCCAAAACCCATATACATATACTATACAATGAGTCAGAAACAAACAAGCAAATAAACAGACAAGTAAACAAACAAAAAATGAAAGCCAAAATCTGATGTTTTACATCTCTTCATCATCTTCACCAAACCAAGTGTGATTGTCAAGTAGATAGACTCGACCAGTGCCTCGACTCAGAACTAACGCAGCACCTAAAATACATCACAATAGCACATTTAAGCTTGGCAAAATTTAGGAGAGGAACCTAAAATACGCTAAAGTTATCTATGAGCAAGTGAGCATACAATATGCCAAAAACTGCTTTTCAATATAAATGCAGATTAAATTCAAAGACTTCAAGCGACTCTCCCGCTCTTTTAACCTCTGAATATTCAGTCTGCAGTTTTTATATCCGGAACAGATAATCGGAAATTACAAATCCTTACAATTGCTGGCTGCCTTGTAAACGTTATTACATTTCCTTATAATTCTTCCAATTGCCTGGTCAATTTTTTCTTGGCTTATATCCGACAATTTCAGCATTATTGTACGATTCGTCTCCCTGAAAGTACTCCACCAATAGCTGCGCAGTAACAGCTATTGCACAGGAAACTGCTCTCAAACACAACCAGTTTTCCGAAAGTTAATTATTTTAATAAATGACTCTCTTCACTACAATCAAACAATTCCGTTCATTCTAAGAGTATATTGTATGCTTAAACCCCCGTTACTAGTTTCAGGTACACAAATTATTGGAACATTGCAGAAAAATTGAAAAAATCTTTTGGTCATCCGCAGTTTTTGCAGGGAAGCTGCCTCGCAAAAAGCTTCACTTAAAACCCATCAAAAAGTAAAGAATATAAACGATACAAAGAGAACGGATAAAACACTTTATAATTTATCTTTCGCAAATCAAATTCTTGAAACTTTGTGGTGGATCGTTCTAGCAAACTAGTCGCTCACCAAACAAATTTTTTTAAGTTTAAAATCAATTTAAAATTGTTTACTTGGAAAGTTGCAACCAATAGCTGATTGTTCGAGCTGCTTGAGCTACACGATTGTTCACGTCATGAAGCACCTCCAATCTGGCATCTTCTTTCATCTTCTTCAAGACACATTCCAAACTTTTACGTTCATCGTTGTCGTCCAATGCAAATGAGGTTGCACACTAAAACAATTTAACTTGATCATTTCTTTTACTCATCAGAGTTTAGCTGAATCAAATATTTCATCTTTATGAGAACCGACGTACTCGAAAGAGAAGTGTGTCAACATGCTCCACACACTCAACAATTCCGTCAATTAAGTACGATGATACTTTGATTTTTGGACAAAGCACTGACAAATTCTTCATCGGCCGTCCACGAGTCATTGATGACAGCTCTGCTGAAGTAAGTTCGTAAATGCCGCTCAGTTCCAGAGTCCTTAAAGATAAAAAATTATAGGTAAGTAAAAAAAAGAAAAGAACGACGCAAGACTCAGTACTAAAAAAATTCTTCTCTATAAGTTCTATCAAAACAAGATGCTTACTTGATTTCCTTATCCTGTAATGCACTAGCAATAAAGTTATGCGAATACTTATCGTATCTACAAGTTTCATACTGAAACTGGCAAAGCTTGGCGCATTTACTGACAGATGCCCAGAACTCCTGACTAAATTCCTTTGACTCCATCCGCATATGACGCAGACGCAGCTGCTCTAACGTTGATGAAAACTGCTCAATAAAGTCAGAGATCTAAATCAAAAAACAATAGTACTTTACTAGGTTAATATAAAGTACAGCCATCAATTAGTAACAGGTCTGTCCTGACAGTTTTAGCAAAAAGAAAAACACAATCAATGACGACTGAATTGCTGATACTACTGTTCTTTAAAACACCTTATTATGCGAAACAAGTTCATGTCAAGTTCAATCTATCAATCAAGTATATGCTTGGCGACAACCAACTTTACTTGAAGATAACGTGCAAAAGTACTAACTGACCGCGGGCATCGCATTCGTTTTGCTTCCAATAACTGTAAGTTTCTGCAACGACAGTCTCCGTCTTCTATGGCAACTGCGTCCATACTCACTTTCTAATTCATTTAATAGTGTGGTACACAACAAACCATTGATTGAAGTTTCTAACCAGAGATGTTCAATTTTGTCTACGCGTTGAGCTAAAAAATGATTTTATTCGTGAATAAGAAAAATTCTAATTTTAATACAATATAAACCAATACTTATTTCCCTTACATAAATTTACAAATAAAAAGATGAGAGCATAAAACAAGTTCAAAATCTATAAAGAAATAGCACATACCGATACGTTGTACCAACAATTGACCTTGCCAATTTTTCATTATTATACAATCGTTCTCATATTTGATCTCTAAGTGTGACATTTCAGGAATTAAGTAATTAACAATAAAATCTGGGTTTTCTGCAAATACGCAAAGTTCATTCTCGTTCAAAGTTTGTATCTTTAGCGGCGATAACGATATTGGAATTGAACCGTACAAAAAATCCGTCAATTTACAAGCCTGAAAAACAGATATACTAAAGAAACTTGCCCATACGCTTAACTTACGATGCAAATGAGAAGAATTCTGACCATACGTAATCTAATACGATCGAGCAGAGGAAGATATTCAAATACAGATAGGAGCACCGGAGCGTGCAAATGCTGTATAACCTCCGGTTCCGTACTAGTGCTACAGAACTTTACAGTTTTTGCAGCTACCAATGAAGTCGTCGATGCTACTGTAGCAGATTTAGCGGATTTCCGACCTCTATCAAAATTCATCAACCGTTTAGCAAATTTCCAAAAAGACTTTTGCCGATGACATTTCTTCTGAACTTCAGCTTTTGTTCGTGCTACTGAAGCAGTCTGATGTCCAATTAAATCTTTGAAGATAAACATTTTGCTGTTTAGTAATAACTGAAACCAGCACTAAAGTTAGTTAATTCAATCATCCATCAACGAAAATAGTGTTCGAAATGAAGGTTTTAGTTCTCAAGAAACTGGTCATTCGAAGGCAAGAGAAACAAGCTTGGCTACTGTCTTTTGAATGATGCCATAATGCAATTAAAAGGTAACGAAATAAGTAATTATACAAAAAATTTAAGCGAGTTCCTCCTGCTAATAACAACAAGTTTACATATGCGATGCAAAAAGTCCCGCTGGTGGTAACACTTCATAAACCTCATAAATTATATAACTGCAATTGCATCTGCACAGGAAAAGACGTATGGCTGTAATTTTGAAGTGATTTTGATAGTGGAATAAATAAAGAAAAAAGTATATGAAATAAATCCAACTATTCGGTTCAATATTTACTGAACACTTTTCATCAGAATGCTAATGTTGAAGAAACAACAGAACTCATTTTAGGAGACCGTCAGCAGCTACTGACTAAGTTGCTGTACCAGCAAAAAGTTTACTTAGCAGCAACAACAAATTTTATCGCTGCAATTTTTTGTTGGAATGACAAAAAAACCCCGTAAACCTTGAAAAATTTTGTACAAAAAGTTGTACTCTAGCTGACTGATCATTTCGTATAAGCGTAACAGAATACTTTTGTTTTATGAAAAATAAAGAAAAAAAGATATAAATTATCTGTCTGCTTCTTCTACTGTTTTGTCTTACTTGTAAATTTCACAGTTAGCATCCCTCTAAGTGTTAAATTAAGAAAGAACAATATTTTAAATAAAAAACAAAACACATCAACTAAATATGTAAAAAAGAAGACAGTGAAAAATGAAGTTATAAAACAACCTTTTTTG